GGGCAGTAGAAAGAAACATTTTTAGCTGTTTCTCTGTCTTCTTAAATACCTCATTTTGTTTGGGTTTGGGTTTTTTTTTTTTGGTTGGTTTGTTTTGAAACTGAAAGATTGCAGAGAGGGTTAAAACTTAACTTTTTTTTAAAGCTCTGTAAGAAGAAAGCAGCCATTAAATACTTGAATGCTGGTTTTTTAGCACTAATTTGAAGGCTGCCTGCACACCAAAAATTCCCTTAAAGGAGGCAATGTACATTTCTCATAACTTTTTCTGCTGTGTTTTACACTGTTTTATGGATAGTCCAGTACATTTCAGTGTGATTTTGGAGCTTCTGAGATGTTGTTTTTCAAGCAGCTGTAACTTTTAGGGGTATTGGCTGTTAGCACTTGTTGATTCTGAAGCAACTGAAGGCAAAGAGTAATGATGTGTGTGATTCCAGAGCAATTTCACTCAAAGTTTATAAATGGAATTGTCTTTCAGGCAGAGATGAAGTCTGGGAAATCATCACCTCCAAAGGTAAATGTTTTATAGTGTCATCAGTGTGTGAAAATAGCACTTTTGGGATCTTAAAACTGGCTCAGGCATCAAAGTCTACATAGATTTTTTTTATTTCACTGCAAAAGACATCAGCTCACCCTTTTTATTTAGGCCCTTTAAGTGGAAATTTGGTTCTGCTTGTGTCCTGTTCTGCTGCTCAGGTCAGCCCAGGCCATGCTTGGAAGAGCCTTTGGGCTCCACAGGAGGCTGGTTTGTAGCTTGGGTTGAGACTAAGCTTATATTGGGTTGGTTTAGAGTCTTTTTGGGGTCTTCTCTGAGAAATCACAATTTTCCTTCCTAGTGATCTTCAGACTGGTGTTGGAAGGAGGTGGGGGAGGACCTGGGAGTGACAAATCCCACAGTAAGATGTGAATTAAGAGACAAAGTCTGAGTCAAGCCTGGAGAAAAACATCTTCCTTGTGCCTAGCCTAAATCTACCATGCTGTGTGTGAAAACCATCCCCCCTTGTCCTGTCCCAACAGGCCCTGCTCAAAAGTTTGCCCCCTTCTTTCTGACAGGCCCCTTTAAGTACTGAAAGGCCCCAGCAGGGTCTCCCCAGAGCCTTCTCTTCCCCAGGCTGAACCCCTCCAGCTCTCAGCCTTTCTTCATAGGTCTTCCCATCTACCCAGTCAGTTTGTTGTCCTCCAGACAGTCCCTCCATCAAACTCCTGCTGCTCCAGTGTGGAGAGAAGGATGATGTGGGGGACAGCACAAGGACAATGTTGGGGTTCTGGAGAGGGTCCAGAGCAGGGCAGCAAAGCTGAGGGGACCTGCTCCATGATCTCCACGGGCACAGAGGGGAGGCTGGCAGGGTGGTACTTCCCAGGCTCCTCCTTTAGAGTATCTGCTTTGTGTCCCCTAATTACTGCAACTCCTCTGCTAGTTGAGGAGATCAGAAGAATTAAATTCTCATGGAGACAATCTTTGTGTGCCCTGGGATTTGGGTGTTGAACATGAGCTCAGAAAGAATGCCAGAGAACAAAGTTGTGGCAACTGCTCTCTAGATATTTCACCCTACTTTATATTCCACCAGTTCTACCTGTTTGGAGTAGATCTGTATAACCTTAATTTCATTTTCCTTTTCATTAACATGTAAATGTTGGGATGGAACAGATTTGATTTGTTTTCTAATTGTTGCATTAAATTATTGGAGGCAGCACATTGCACTTGAACCCAGCAGTGAGCAATGGGAGAGGTGCTGTCTGTGCTGAGACATAACTGACCTGTTCTGCTTGGAAAGGAGATGTAAGATTTCATTTAACATCACTCTCCTTGTTTTATGCTCTGTGTGTCTTTGTCATGAGTCTGTTTTCATGTTTGGACTTGCCAGCAGCTGCACTTTTCACTGATGAGAGAAGAAGGTGGTTAGCTGCCCCTTTTGAGTCCTCTTGTGTGGTGATACACTCTCATTCAGCTAAAGATTTGGTCTGGGTGACTGCCCTGAGAATGGAAAAGTGCTGTGAGAGATCAGAACCAATCCAAGTGGAGCAGAAGAGGTGTCAGGAATCCCACAACCTTACTCCTGGGGAGTCTCTGTCTTCTGAGCAGCTTACACGTTGCTCTGTGAGCTCAGTAGATGAAGATCCTGGAAGTCAACCCCTAAACAACAGCAGAGCTGGTGCCCATTGTGGGCCTCCATGGCCTCCTGAGCTTCCTGCATGTTCCTCTTGGCCTTAGTGGATAGAAACTCAGAAATAAGGGCTGTGTGGTTGTGTTCTGTGGGTTCCAGGATGACTTTTAGGAGGAGCTTTGTCAGCCTGGTGATACAGCCTGTGCAGGTGTTCTGTTGGTCAGCAGGGAAGACTGAGGGAAAGCAGAAGTTGCTGTGGTCCCAGCCAACTAATTTCCAGGGCTGTTTGATGAGCTTTGCCTGCTGGAAAAACTGTGAATAGGATTTTGAAGATTTCTGAAGCCTTTTCCTTAGGATTGCTTTTCTGCTTGTTTTATGGAGTTGGTTTCCCAAAATTCCAGGGGGGTTTGCTGCTAAGTTTGACATGCCATTAATCTTCTGCAAGCAGGAGTGCTTAAATCACTTCCTCCTTATTTCCCTGGTGTTCATACATATGTGTTTGGGTTTTCTTCCAGGATTCACTTGGAGTAAAAGCTCACTGACTTCTACAATGGAAAAGTCATGGATGCTTTGGACCTTTGTTAAAAGATGGCTGCTAGCTTTGGCTTCCTGGTCGTGGAGTCTGTGCCGTGTTTGTCTCTTACCCCTGATAGTCACTTTCCACCTCTATGGAGGCATTTTCCTGCTCCTCTTGATCTTTGTCTCCATAGCAGGCATCTTGTACAAGTTCCAGGACGTGCTGCTGTACTTCCCTGAGCAGCCCTCCTCCTCCCGCCTCTACGTCCCCATGCCCACGGGCATACCCCACGAGAACATCTTCATCAGAACCAAAGATGGGGTGCTCCTCAACCTCCTGCTGCTGAGGTACACGGGGGACAGTGCCCCCTGCTCCCCAACCTTCATCTACTTCCACGGTAATGCTGGCAACATTGGCCACAGGCTGCCCAACGCCCTGCTCATGCTGGTCAACCTCAAGGTCAACCTGCTCCTGGTGGACTACAGAGGCTATGGGAAAAGTGAAGGGGAAGCCAGTGAGGAAGGTTTGTACCTGGATTCTGAGGCTGTCTTAGACTATGTCATGACTCGTTCTGATCTGGATAAGACAAAAATCTTCCTCTTTGGCCGTTCCTTGGGGGGAGCTGTAGCTATTCACCTGGCTTCTGAAAATGCCCACAGGATTTCTGCCATCGTGGTGGAGAACACCTTTCTTAGCATCCCCTACATGGCCAGCACTTTGTTTTCTTTCTTCCCCATGAGATACCTTCCTTTGTGGTGCTACAAAAACAAATTTCTGTCCTACAGAAAGATCTCTCAGTGCAGAATGCCTTCTCTCTTCATCTCTGGCTTGTCTGACCAGTTAATCCCACCAGTCATGATGAAACAACTCTATGAATTATCCCCAGCTCGGACTAAGACACTGGCAATATTCCCTGATGGGACTCACAACGACACGTGGCAGTGCCAGGGGTATTTCACTGCACTTGAACAGTTCATCAAAGAAGTAATAAAGAGTCACTCCCCTGAAGAAATGGCAAAAACCTCATCTAGTGTGACAATAATATAATTGATGTTCTTCTCTGGGGGTGGGGGGGGTGGGGGGGAACTACTTGCACTTGTACCTTGAGTTGTGAAAAGTGGTTCAAGAATGTCCATTTTTCAATGTTCTGTCATGTCTGTACTTGCCTAAAGAGTGAAATTAAACTTGGAAAGGTCTGATGCTTTATTAAGATGTTCCAGGTGACTTTTTTTTTTTCCATTGGCAGCATTGTAAATGAACCATTTTGTCTTCCTCATCCTTTTTTTAGTGTCTCTGTCCATCTGTCCCCTTTAATAGCATCCATTGTACATATCAAAGAGGAGCTTGCTCCAAAAGCAGTAGAGAATGTATTAGTTCAGAACAACAGGAGGCTCTTCAGTCTTCACTGCTCTGTCTGTGAGCTTTTTTTGGACAGCCAGCACAACCATTTGCTGCTTCTCTTAGAGCTGATTTCAAACGTGCCATGCATGAGATTACTCTTGAAACTTTATATTCTGTGAGGTGGGGAGTCCTCAATGTGCTAAATACTCTAAAATAACATTCCTGGTTGGGTGTGTTGCAGGTGTGCTCTCCTGGCTCAGCACTGACTTCTGTGGTTATGCAAACAGGTCTCAAACTGCAGCTGGAGAGGAGAAGACACTTTCCTCCTTTCCATTTTCCTGGGTGTGTACTAACAGTGCCCAGAAGGTTGTGTGTGCCTCAACACCATCATTTCAGGGTTCTGCCCAGGCAAGAAAACAGAAGTTTAAAAGTAGAAAACAGAAGGTAAAAGTGTGTGTTGGCCTTTGAGTGTGTTTAAATCTGGGATAGCTGGATGTCTACCCTTCATTCCTCCAAAACAAAGCAAGCCAAATAATTGCCATGGTTGGAGATGAACATGTGCAGTTGTTCCAGTGAGGATGACAAAAATGAGCAGTGCATGAAACTTAGGAGGCCTCAGCTTGGCCTGAAAGAGAGGAGTTGAAGGCTTGTCTTTTGCAGTTGTGTTGTGCCACGTGGAAGCAGTGTGAACAGGAGCAGCAGTGAGTTTTCTTTGGCTCCTCTGGGGTTATTTGGAAGCCAGTTGTCACCATTTCAGAGCCAGCTGTACCAAGTTTGGTCCTGGCTGAGCGTTGGGATTGTTCTTTGTTGGCTTTTGGTTTGGTTTTAGGAGCCCTTCTCCTAGGTAGTCATAGCAAAGTCATTTGGTTTGTCTCTTCAAAGTAGTTTTTATGGGAAGAATGAAAAATCTTCCACACAATCTGTATGATTGTCCTTCAGATGGGAATTTTTCAACAAACTCTGTCCTGATTCAGAAGAGCATTCAGCACACACTTAAAATCTAATGGACAGGGGGATTTTAAGCCTGTGCTTAAGTTCTGTGGTGGAATTAAACTGCTTTCCTGAAGGGTGCCTTAATGGTTATGCAGCCTAAAATTTATTACATGGCATTGTAGTTCTTGTATGCATGGGTACTGGTTGTCAGCAGCTGGTGGATGGGGTGATACAGCCTGATTTAAATGTGATTTTTGGTTTTTAATTTATTTTTTAAATGACCATATATATACCAAAAGTTGATGCTTTCTCTGGTAAGTATCTTTTGTCATACTATTATTAATAAAAGGCTTTTTAGAGTCGATTGAAAAGGCTTTAGACCTAAAAACAGAACAGACAAAACAGTTTTGAGTGAAACCCAAACTACTCCCCCAGCCTTCCAGGGGTGGTGTTTTTTGGGGGGAGGCAGATGAAGCGTTCTCATTTGGGTGTACAGCTGCTAAATCCAAAGCCCAGTGTGTGGCATCAGCTTGGGGCACTCCAGAGCTGTTCAGAATGGGTGAGATCTGGACACCAGTTGTGATGATCAAGCTGCAGCTTTTCTCTGTCTCCTCTGCAGGGCAGGGAGGTGGAAGTTGGAGGAAACCATTGCCATGCCTCCATCCTTTACACTTAAGGGACATTCTTTTTACTTCTCCATTAATGGCTTGGCCACCTACCCTTGTGAATGGGTGTTACTGTGCTCCCTTTCCTTGCATCAGCTCTCAAACCCAAGGACAGAAAATAGGAAGGAAATTGCTGCTTTATTTTGTTTAATGCCCATGTCCCAGTGCTGAGCATGACCTGGGAGGGAGGAGGGGGAAGAGACTGGTTCTGACAAGTCAAGACTTGTTTTTGTTTTCTCATCTGTGTGAGGGACACCCACAGTTGTCTGCTGCTAAAAAGTGAGCCACAAGCAACACAGTAGGAATAACTTTAAATGGCCAAAAGTTGTATTTATGCTACTCTTGCCTATATTCCACTTAATGCCCTTGTATGTTTTCCCTTAGCAGCTCTCTGTTGGTGTGTAGATGTTTCTCCAGTCTTTGTCCTGTACATACAAATTTCTAGTTTGGGAAGAGGAAGTCGAGTTATTTTTCACAGGTTTCTAAGAAAGTCTCTTGGTTTAAATATGTGCATTAAAGGAATTGTCTCTTTTCTAAGTGGAACTTAGAAGTTTAAAAAAAAAAATTAAAAAAAAGGAAAAAAAAAAAAAGAGAGTGGGTCAGGAGTTTAAGTGGAAGAGCTGTGGCAGTAGAGTCCTTGTAAGGAAATAACCAGTGTTAAGATGTGGTGCACACACGTGTGTGTGGTTTTCATTAGTGGCAATCCTTGAGGCTCCCTGCTCAGCCCAAATTTACATTCCCAGGGGTTGTTCCTGAGCTGTGAAGTGAGAGAGAAAAGCTCCACTCTCCTCTGGAGAAGCGTTCACAGTGTGGCTGCCCTCATGCCCATTTCTCAGGTGAAATTAGAGCTAGAGCACAAGCCCATCTGGTAGGCTACAGACAATCTCTCCACTGGAGGGCAGATGGATGAACCCCTCAGACAAAAATATGCATATGAGCATCTCCAAGCTGATCATTTACATCACGTTGGACGAAGAATATGAGGCTGGAGAGCCCAAGGTGTGGCTCTGTGAGCAAAAAAAGATGCAGACATACCTCCATTTGTATTTCCTAACTCACTTCTTGAGAAGTACACCTTTATTTTTGTTAGTGACAGGTGATTTTGCTGGAGGCACTTCTGCCAAATCTAAATTGGGTGCCTCTTGCAGGCAGGGGGATCAGGCTGCTGGATCCCAGCAAGGAGAATTCATTTACAATCCCATCCTGCTTGGGTAATTTGGAGTAGAAACCCACACAAGTGTAAATAGGGAGAGGGTATCATGTGTTTTGAATTGAGAAACAGTCATTGCATATAGGATGCAAGCTTTTTATTCAACTTTTTTCTTTAATATATATCTAGTTAAAGCAAAAATGTCATATAAAGTATTCCTATGTTTTGTAGACGAAGCGTAAATGTTCCTCTTTGTGCTACCTGTGGCAAAGTTTTACATTCCCATTCCAGTCTGGTTTTTACAATAAAATTAATTTTACAAAAAAAAAAAAAAAAGAAAACCAAAACACTTTTCTATTTTTATGTACTGACATATGCAATAAATTGATACATGAAAAGTGCTGTTCACGTCTTGTTCTCGTTTGTGGCCCGTCTGCAGCCTGTGTCCAGGGGTGGTTTTGTGGGTGGTATCACCCATCCCACGTGCTCTGGGTTTAGCACATCCACAGATCTGTGGGAAGCTGTTAGAGCAGGGGGGAAAAAACAGCATGACAGGTATTTATTTCTCAGCTTTGCCACAGATCCTCCCTTTCAGAAGGGGTTAATAAGCAGAGCTGGCGGGCAGCAGCTCTCCATCCCTTTCTGAGAGATGGTCTAAAGATTCTGTCACTTAGGAAAGAATTTCCAAGTGACTAGGCTGACTAGTTTTACCACCTCTTGCTGCTAATAGCTGAAATCTCAATTTTAAGTGCTCTGATAGTTATTGATAGTTATTTCCTACAGCTGCAGTGGGATGCTCAGCCTGGAGCAGTTTCTGCTCGCCTCACAGAGATGCAATAGCAGCTTGTGTCACCTCTGCTCCCACCCTGTGTGCTTCACATGAAATAAATAGCCAGAAAATAAGGATTTCCTGCTGTCTTTTGTCAAGCTACAAAATGTGTGCCCTCTCCTGGGTGCTGGTTTCTAGTTTGATTTTAACCCAATAACTAGGAAAGAGCCAGAGGGGTGGGTGGTACATTTTCACAGTTTAAAAATAAAAGATATTTCTTCAAAAGGAGGCAGCTGCCCTTCCAGGAAAAGCAATTTGCTGGCTTAAATCCTATTAAATGTTCTCAAAAGCATGTGAACATCTGAAGGACGATGCTAGGAGTGAAACCTACATGAAAGGCAGAGGACTTGCTGCCTGTTAAAACAGACCAAGCAGAGGTAGGAAGGAAAACACTGAATCAAAAATGACTTGCCCCAAAGATCTTCGACGTGCCTGAGCCTTAAATCGTGTGCTGGACTCTGTTCAGGGTCTGGTTTTTTTACTTCTTACAGAGTTCTTTCTCTGTAAGTAGATGAGGAAGATGCACTGAATATTTTCTGGAAATGTTTTGAAAAACACAATGTGATTAATCTGTTATGCTGCGTGCTGGGTGGGGATGGAATGGCTCTTCTGCCTTGATGAAAACAGCCATTTTTCTTTCTCTGAAGGGCAATGCAGCTTAAGAGCAGCGTTGGGTTTGATGTATGAGAGAAGATGGTGTCACTGATCATCACTGGAGATCCATCTTTCATGATATTCAGCCATGAGCTGAATAAAGCAGAGCTGCGAGGCTGCTGAGGTAAAACCTGAGCGTGTTCACGTTGCCAGATTTGGGGAGATGTCCCTGCTTTTGAGGAGCAGCTCAGGGATGGATTTTGCTGCTGGAGGGCAGGAGGGAAGGAAGTTCTACAGCTGTTTTGTGTTATGCTTACGTCTGGTGTGGGCTAATTATTTACAAAAATTCAAAGGGAAAGGTCAGGCAGAGAACCCTTTCTGGTCTTGAGGAGCAGTAGTGTAGCAACGAGATTCAGCTATGAAGAAATAAAGCTAGAATTTGAAAACACTTGGAGCCCTTTATGCACTTGAATGAAGGTCCAAAGCCTGCAGCAGCAGCCTGGCCACTCCCCCCCCCAAAAAAGGGCCACGGGTCCCTGTTTCTTTTGCCACCACACAAATCACGTTTGTAGCCCATCGGTGCAAATCCTCTGGAGTGGTGTGGTGTGGGAGAGGTGGAGAAATGCAATACCCCGTGTTGCTGGATGGCCAAGCCAGGGAGGCTGTGAGAGACGGGAGCTCCAGCTGACTGACAGAGTTCCTTTCTCCCTGGGCAGTAAGAAGGAATTGCTGTAACATCCTGGGCTGGGGGGGAGAAGGGGAGGAGGCTGGAAGAATGAAGCTACTGTGGTATAGAAATCTTAAGGCTTTTCTTATATTTTGTATGTTTTAAAAATGATTTAGCATTTCTTGTTGATTCTGCTGCATACTTTGAGACACCTATAATTGCTTTTCCTTCCTGTGCTCTTTCCTATTCGATTTGAAAGCACTGTAATAGCCATGTAAAAAGCTAACAGGGGCTGCAACTCAGCCGTGGGTGTATTTTAGTGCCAGATTTTGACCAAACTCCTCTAGATGCCTAGAGAAATAAAGTCTTAGGCAACAAATAAATAAAGCACAGCGTATCTAAAATGTGCAGGCACTCCTGGTAGCCTGGTTGATCTTGAAACAAGGAGGCAAAGAGAAAAAAATGCCTTTATTTGCTTAAGAAAAATCTCATAGGGTTTTTTTTTTCCTCCTTTTAACAAAGTAATATATCAATTAAGGCTTTAACTGTTTGTAGAGCATCTTTTACTTGCGTGGTTTTCAACAGCTTCCTAAAATTTAAGGTAAAAAGGTGTAAGATGCACAACCATAGAAGCACAATATCCACAAACTGAGTGATTTTTAGATCTGAGGCAGGAACTTGCTTGGGGTTGCTGCTGTTTAAAATGAAGTTGATGCCTGAAAGAACTATTTAAATGTGCTTGAAGAGAATGTGTGCTTGTTTCAGAGGGCTATCATCTGTGAATACTCTCAATACAGCTGTCTGGAATAGTAGAAAGCTGTCATGCAGGATTTATTCTGATCTCCAAAATATTCCATCCGTTGTGTCCATCTTCAGAAGGGACTTGAACTGCGCTCAGAATGGAACCTTGGCTTATTCTCTGCTCCTCTCTGCCTCTTGTGCCCTGTCTTGTGTAGCAAGGCCATCCGTTGTGTCCATCTTCAGAAGGGACTTGAACTGCGCTCAGAATGGAACCTTGGCTTATTCTTTGCTCCTGTCTTGGGTAGCAAGGCAAGCTATCATGCCTCTCTTTTTGTGATAACCCAGTTCCATTCTGTGGCTCCTTCCTAAGAAGATGAAATTGGACCTTTGCCACTGGACAAGTACTTTTAGTCTGACCATCGATGGACCTTTGCCTGGATCTCTGGGTTGCAGCATCTGCACAACCTCCCTTTTAAAAACAGAGTGTTTGTTTCTAAGTAAACTGCTACATTTCTTCACTAAAGAGGTTTTTTTTTTAAATCCAGATCTTCATACGTGAATCATCTGCTTCTCTTTTGTGCATTAAACTTCATGATGGGATTTTCCTCCCCCTCACAGAAGACGTTTTTTGTGGTTAAAGTGCAGTTCTGGATTTCAGAAAAAATCAAGAGTTCAGTTTCTGGTTCAGCCACAAATTTCCTGTGTGATTGCTTTATTATCTCTGCCTTGGTTCCCTGCAGATGCAGTGATAGTGTTTTACAAATCTGCAGGTTAGCAGGGCCCATCTTGATAATTTAATCTGATATCCTGCCTAATGGAAATGAAAAAATAAATAAATTGGTTGCAGAAATTACAGGGTTAGTTTGTACTGTAACAGCTTTGAAGATTTAATCAGCCTGGATTTTGTTCAAGAATCCACTTCCCCTAGTGAAACATTCTCACCATGAAAACTCTTCAGTGGTAATGGGTTTTTTGTTTTCATTCTTGTTTTGAGTTTTAGCTAAAAGTTTGCTCTTTTTCCCAAAAGCAAAAGACTTGGTGAAGTAAAATATTTAGACTAGCCCAGGCGTTTCTTAACAGTTTCCCTTGACTAAATTAAAGAGGTGCCTTTGGCAGTCAACCTGAGTGTTTGACTCACCTCATTCTTTGGGTTCAGGGGGCACTCCATGCATGTGTGCCTGCAGCCAAAATCTGCAAAAAAACCTTCCAGGGGAGCTGGTCAGTAGAAGCAGGCTGCTAGCCACAAACTGAACTACCTGTCTGTGATGAGTTCTTTGTATATATTCATATATATATTCCTATATTCCTTCTAGGTTTGTGTTCTGAACCCTTTTCACTATTTGGTTTTGGCAGTCACAGCCACGTGCAAGCAGCTTTGTTGAGATAAAAGGATGATTGCTGTTACCTCTTCTGTTTCTTAATCATTTACTTCAGCATATATATCCAGATATCACATTTATTTCAACAACAAAGCTCCTCTGAGAGCTAGAGTCAACACCATATCTATGATTCTATGTCAGACAACATTAAAAATCACTGATAATACTGAAATCTATGATATCTGCTGATGGAAAACTAATCTGAGCACCCCTTGGTCCTCTGCAGTCACATCTTATTTTAAAACACAGAGGAAACTAACTGCACGTGTGTTAATCTCACTGACTTTGCCTTGAGCAGGTTCAGGGCTGCTCTGCAGCTCTGCCAAGGAGAGGACTCATAAGGACAGGATGTTATGGCAAGCATCAAGCCATCAGCTCCACGCTCTAGGCTCTGCACCTGGCTTGTGTTGTCTGTTTCTTTGGGATTTTTAAGTCCTTTTTCTGAGTTTTTACTTTACTGCAACGAGTAGTCTAAAATTTACTGAAGTTTTGTTTGATTATGTTAAAAAAGTTGTTCAGCTAAGTGTATTTCCAGGCAATTCATGTTGTTTTTCATGACTGATCTCCCCTGTACGTTGTTTGTTGTGATGTCCTGCTTCTGCCATCACAAATATTGTCTAAAATCATATTTTCTTTCAAATCCCCTGTATATGAAGCTGTCAAACAAAGAACACAGGGTACACAGAGTGGGCTCTGATACTCAGCTAGAGATACCTGCTGAAGCTGACAATATTCCTAGTTATAACTAGTTATAACTTTCCTTCTCCCACTTGGTTTCCTATTCTTAAACAGCACTTCTCTCCAAACTGTCATGTTACTTTAATTTTGTGACACAGTCAGCACTGTTCTGATGTCTAGGGACACTTCAAAGCATGTCTGCTTAGTTGTAATAATTGTTTATTCCCTCCAAGAAAACCTACCTCAGTTCACCTTAAATTTTCTTCAGAATTCAGCCTTGTTTATATCTTAACTTAGCCTTAAAAATGGGTCCAGGAATTATCTGATATTCTGCCCTCATTCCACCCTGCACTGATTTCTGTGTTGTTTCTCCCAGTGTGCCCATTCCTTCTAGGGGCACGTTCTGTGATGTGTTATCAGTTTTTTCCTCCACATTTAGGAAGATAATTGCTTGTTTGTGCAGTTTGTTGTGGTGGTTAGAGGTGGCAAAGTAAGGAAAAGAGATTATAAAGAAAAGAAGATTATAAAGCTTATCATAACTCTCAATTTCTCATAGTCTTAATAAATAGAAGTGGGAGAGGCTACAGAACTTGTTACTCTATTGTTGTTCTGAACTACTCTGACAAGTGTTGTCATCAGGATTCACTTCACAATGTTCACACAGAGCTGTAAAATTCCCTTTCTTATCAAAATAAATCTACTTGCATGGCAAAAAAAAATTTAGAATCCAGTCAGGGAGCTGACCTGTTGATTTTAGCCCTAATTAGGATGCTTTTTGATCTTTTTTTCTGTCCCAGACCACTGAAACTTTTAACAAAGGAGTTAAAACTTTAATTGTGTATGAGAAGACAATACAAAAAGTATGTGAATGTGTTTGGGATGTTTAGATAGCCTTGCTGCCACACAGAATAAAGGAATTACTCATGCAGGGGTTTAAGATGAAAGGACTAATAAAGTAAAATTTTAAAGAGATGAGCTTAAGCCAGACACTCAGGATTCACCTGAAAAACTTTATCATGCCTGTTTAAAGTTTCTGGTGTTGTGTTGGTTGGTTGGTTGCTTTTTTAATTCTCTAAATAGTTCTTTTCCTTCCATATCCCTCTGCTCTTTCCCCTCCCATTCTTATTTTCCCCTCTCTTATTCTTTCCCATCCTCTGGTTTTTCCCCCTCTAGTTCCCCTCCTCTTGTTGCAGGTTTCTTCTCCC